ATAACACATGCATGGAGCGAGGTGGATGGTTGTTTTTGAAGTTCAAAAGAGGCTAGGAATGTGCTAAAGAGATGGATAAATTAATTCAAGACATATAAGATAAGGAATCAGCTAAAAGGAAGGAACATTATCCAAAACCTTATCCAAACATTATCCAAACTAACTTTATCTTATCTTACCTCATCCTAATCCTATTTTACCTAAATTCCAGCTGCAAGGGGGAATTATTTTCAGATTAGGACACCTAAAAACTTGGTTCTAGAAGCCACACCCTTTTCCTAAAAAGGTGCCACATAGGCCCCTATCTTTTCTTCTAGGAACCTGTCGAGTATTCTAGTCCTTATCCTCCCTAGTTTCTGCTGTATAATTAGCCTTTTCCTTGTGGGATTGGGGTGCCAAATCCTTCTCTAAAACAACTTTTGTGTCGTGCCCTCAGCCTATAAATACAATCAAAGGTGCCGCATAATGAAAAAAAAAAAAAAAAAAAAAAAAAAAAAAAAAAAAAAAGCCCACACACAAGAGCTTGGTTTTCAGAGAATAAAAACATAGTGTCGTAGCTTGCAAGGAATGAGAGCTTGGTGCCGTGCCTACCATCCAAGGCCTTTGGATTGTTGGAACATTTCTAGGTGTATTCTGTCTTTAGTTTTTAGTTCAATGTTTGTTTTAATTTGGTTTTCAGTTATGATAGACATGTGGAACTAATTTCGTTTTTGCTAGAGGTGAATTCAAAGCCATAAACATGTGTGATATAAATTGATTACATCCAGTTATTGTTTCATAAATCGTGAATGCAATTTACTTATCTGTTTGATTAATAACTTATTCTTGTATGTTGATCAAGGAGGCCTACTTAGTTTGCATGCAGGGATTTGATGCTAGAATATAAGGGAATTTCACCTAATCGTTATGAACTTATATTTACTAGTAAAAGTCACTAATCATGATTATGTTAAGTAAATTCCTGGCAGGAGTATCATGCAATTCATAGTTACGAATGCCTTGTCAATGCTTATGATTTTCAAAGAACTTAAAGATCTTTGATATGTATCTCTATCATACTGTTCATATAGGGAACTTGATAAGAATAATTTGATTGCGTCGCTGAGTCCAATTCAATGACCTTAAGAAAATCTGAGAGTTAATTTGTGCAGTTCTCAATTAATTTGGGGCATTGTTATTCATGGTTTATAGGAATAATAACTGGAAATCGATTTGTATGCATATGGTTTATGTATGGAGAAGAATCATCTAGCTAGTCTTTCACCCCCTTCATTCACCCCAATTTCGTATCAATTAGTTTGTTTTCTGCAAGTTACTTAGTTTTAGTTTAAATTTCATTCAAACATGTCCCCCGTTAGTATTTTGAGTCAAGTTAAGTTTAGAATTCGTCCAAATCACCCTTTAGTTCCTGTTTTGAGTCAATTTGTTTGTTTTGTGCTGTTTGGAGTCAGTCTGGTCAGTTTTGAGTCATTGGAGTCTAGTTTTGTATTTTTGAGTTAAATTTGTGTAGATTAGCATCCCTCCTAATCTCCAGCCTAGAACGATCCCTACTTGCTCATACTACAACTGTCTAAAAAGGGTTTAATTTGTGTGTTAGTTTTTACCACATCATTCCTCCCTCTTTTCCTCCTTTATCCTCCATCTCCACCGACCATCTTTCTTTCTTTTAATTTGGGCCACACACGTGGCTCCACCAGATTTTGCTCAAAAAATCTGGAGCATTCTGGAAATAAATCAATTTACAATTTTGCCCTAGACTTCATTCGTTAATATCTCTTTCGTTATAACTCCAAATCACGATCCGTTCACGTCCACGCGTTCGTAGCGACAAGTACTACGAGGATACGCCAAGAAAATGAACCTTACGTGACACGACACGGCAGTCAACAAATGTCAACACTTTGTCTCGAAGGGCATTTTCGTAAATTCACTTTTTTAAATCATAAAAATCTTAATAATTGGGGACGGGTTGTTACAGAACAAATAAGAGGGAATTTATGTAGTGATTAATAAATTCAATAAATAACAAGGATTGAATGACAATCTTTTTGGGCTAATTGAAGTTCTACATGTTGTCTTAATAATTTTAGATGAAAGTTTAACAAAATTAGTGCAAAATCATAAATTTGTTGTAGGACTAATTTACTCAACAATATAAAGGATAGAAAGAGGGTGTGCGGCAACAACAAGAGAAAAGAGAGAGATGTGTAATTGTGAGGTGTGTGTTATGCCACCCCATTGTGCCTTTATTTATAATAGTAGGGAAGGTAAATTCCTTACCCTAATAAGATTACAACTCCAATAGAATAATATCTAGCCTAAGAGATATGATAGAATCCAATAATGATACCCTAGATATGATAGGATTTACACGATTACTGTCACACCTTGATTCCGAGATAGTCCAAGATAGACACATGACGTCACTACATACCCTTTTACCCTTCATGCCGCGCCTCCGAGACATAAATAAAACACGAATCATTGTGTCAATAGTAGTAAATTTTCTTTTATCATGTGGTTGCATCTAACCTTTGTGTTAGACTGCCTATGTATCATAAGACGGGATCAAGTCAATAGTAGTTCACCAGTTCAATAAACTCCTATCACTACTACAAGACATGACTACATACATGTAATAACTACTAAAAACTGTATGCTTTCTTTGCATAGCTTGTCTAGGCATACGAGACATGTACATATAGCTTTAGAGCATGAATCATCAACTTGATTTTGGTTTCAGTATAGGCATGCATATAGATATTTATGTTTAATGGGACATCATTCTACCATTTAAGCAAACAACATGATACGTATAAAGGCGAAGTACTTAATCGAATGGTAATCACCCCAAATTGGATCTGTCAACTATTGGTATCTATACCAGCCATGATATTACTAACCAATATACTTTAGATATAATTGTAATAAACTACTATATGTTGGAAATGTGCCCTAAAACCAATCATGTGATGATGCTTTACGGACATTTCACATGTTGAACTAATCTAGTTTAATATAAAGGGCAAAGATTATTGTTTGAGCCGTCTCATATAAATGTTATATGCTTAAACGATAAAGTCCAAGGAATATGTGATTGGGAGAATGTAATCTAATGAAGTTAGATTCATGAGACCATTCTTTCGTAGACACATCCTAAATATTCCTGATCATAGGATTGCCAATTGGGCATTGACAGTCCGTCAAGATCGGTACGTGCTATGTCTTCTCTCAGGGAGAGTGACTAGTCTCGAGTCATTGGTGTGTGTGACATCAAGACAAGTACGTAGGTGCTCAGTAGAGAATGAGTTCACTGAACGCGATCAACGAAGAGTTCTCATACTCATGTCACATGAGAACTCATGGTTGGGATAATGCAAAGTAGTCCTTTGACCTGAGGCATCACAGTTGTCTTGTGGTTAAGTCCTTGATCTTTGATTATGTCAAAGTCACCCCATCGGGGTGTCCATGACATCGTTGGGGTTAAGCCACTTAGCCATGGAGGCAAGTGAATGCGCAACAAGGGATCTCTAACCTTCAAACTGTTTGAGGGAGAATACTCTATGATATGATTTAGAATCTCTGGCCAGAGTATGAATGAGATTTAGAAAAGTCGTTCTAAATCACATTCAAGGTAATCATATAAGCACACGAATCACATTGCATAGTAGACATGAATAAATGAGCTATCAAACCAAACAATGTGGTCAAGAGTATTGTATTAGAGAAAGACCGTATTGCATTTGTAATCCCAAACTGAATAGGTTTTCTCTACCTCTTCTGATTAGCTTGGGTAACCATGATATGCTGCAAGGTGTCACTCATGGTTTGTGGAAGCCCTAAACGTGTGTAATCACTAAAGGGAGAATTGAAAGTAAGTTTCAATTCACAATCGATATAAAATGGTTTTAATCGCCCACTGCCTCGCTAAAAGGAACCTAATGGATCGCACACCGTGTAAGGTGGAGATTGAAGAAACAATGGAGATGAGTAAGAATGATTAAATGGTTTAATCATTTATTTATGGCAAGGATTAATTAATATGTTAATTAATCAAACGAATAAGTTCGTTAAAGACCTCGGGATAGTTTTGGACATTAAGGCCCAATGGGCTTCGAACGTCAAGCCCATTGACTTAAGTTGTATGACAACTTAATGAATAATGATTCACAAAGGCCTAATTAGCCCAAAAAATACCCTAGGGCCGGCCATGATGCTAAGGGTAGTGAACTTGGACTTATTTACAAGTTTGCCACTCAAATGAATAAATGTATAAATATGACTTTATAGCCTAAAATTCATTAGGGTTTTTTTTTGAGAAAATTGGAAAGAACATGTCTCTCCATTTCTCTCTAAAGAGGCCGGCCACCTTGGGGGTGCATCTTGCAATCCCACTACTCCAAGGTCACTCATTTCTTCTCCAATCTCTCCTTGGTGAAGAGACTTAGAGGTTCCCTATTTTAGGAACTTGGAGAAACCTATTCATCCATCCAAATCCATAGATTTAAGATGCAAGGAATGAAGGCCCTCTCTTTGGGTGATTAGCCTTTGCTTATGCAAAGAGGAATCTACAAAGGTATAAATTTCAACTCACTTTGTTTTGAGTTGAGTTTTGGTTCACCAATCTACTAGGCTTTGAATTTCATGGTTAATGTTTTGTTTTTAAGTGCATGCAAGCATGATTCCGCCTTTAATTGTTAATTGCATGCTTATTGATGTTGCTTAAATGAACATGTTTTCACAAAATCTTCCTTCACTATAAGCATACCCCTTTCAAATTGTATACCAAAATACAAAGCCAATAGTACATATAAAAGCAACAATATAACTATAATCTAATAATAACTAGCTAGACTAGTTATCTCTTATATATAAAGCCAGAGCCCAAATTTGGGGTCATGGCTTCGACAAAAATCATTAGGATCCTCAGCAAAAAAAAGTCAAAAGCAGCAAAGAAGAATGCATAAAATAATGCAAGGGTAATTTTATAATAATATTATCATAAAAAAATGCCCGACAACTTTGGTATGTTTCTAACTTTCAATCGGTTATTGGAATAGTCGAGCTCAATTGGGTTACCTTCCTTTTCTTCTGCTTCATTTCCTTTGCTATGTTTCTAACTTTCAATCGGCTTCGTCTGCCTCTGTTTCTCCTGGTTCTGCTGCTGCTGCTACTTCTTCTTCCTCCTTTGCTTGATATCTTATATGTGTGTACGAACAGATCTCCAAGCATTTGAGAAACCCACCAAAACTGAGTTTCCACAGTGACTGAGAGTTCTCCAGCCATGTCTCTGGTGCAAGGCAAATGGATCAAGGTTTGTTCCCTTTCACGAATTTCTTTTCAACTTCTGTTTAATTTAGATTATTAGCTTCATTTCAAGGATTAATTACTCAAAATTTGATGAAACCCTAATTGATTTCAAGGATTAATTACTCAAAATTTCATCGTCAAATGTTTATCCAATCTCTGTGTGGTGCATATATATTTAATTTTTTAATTTTATTTCTCTCTTCTTCTTTGTAATTTTTTAATTATAATCGGATACCAAGCAATCTTCTAGGATCTCAATGACTTTCTTCTCATACTCACCCAAGTCTGTATCCAAATAAAGTCCATTTCCGTTTCATTAAGATCGGTTCTGGAATCCATTATATCACCGTAAATTCTGTTTCTTTATTCAATTGTTGCAGATTAAGCTCTTCTCAAAAAATAAAAAAACTGTTGCAGATTAAGCTGCTCTTGGATTAAGCTGCTTTTGAATTAAGCTGGTTTGCAACGTTTTTATATTATATTTGTTCTGACTTTTGATCAATTTGAATAGGTCGATAAAGCTGTCGGTGATGATTGGAAATCGCTCTCGAGGCTGTGAGTAATTCTCTGCTTTGAATATTAAGTATTTAGGAGTGTAAATTTTAATTTATGAATGGGTTTTTTGTTTAAATTTTGTTTTTGTGATTTTGGGGGTTTTGTTTGTAGCTTCGGATTCCCAACATGCTGTTTAATTTTGTTTTGTTTTTGGCTTTAGGAAGTCGTGGTTTCAGCTATTAAGGGGCCAGCATAAGATAGAATGCACTGGATAGGGCAATACAAACCGATCAGGTGCACATTTTGCTCCCATTTGTGCGCAGTGTTCTTAACCACACAAAACGAAAAATCTACATTAAGATCTCTGATAATTTCTTCTCTATTGCAGAATTATGAGATTGGATTTGGAATTTAATTATTTCAATTTGTTTTTGTGGTTTATATTTCAAGGTCCGACCCAAACCAAATTCAGTTTCTGCATGAGTCATACAATGAAGCTCTGGGAGAGTCATTGAGCATAGATTAAGGCAAGAGACACGGGTTTCGGACAACCAATTCGGATTCATGTCAGGACGCTTAACTATGGAGGCAATCTATCTCTTATGAAGATTGATGGAAAGATATAGAGAGGGGAAAAAGGATTTACACATGGTCTTTATAGATTTGGAAAAAGCGTATGATATGGTCCCAAGAGACATTTGAAGGAAAAATTTTGTCCTAGCTAAGAACAAGTATGAACATTTGAATACACATGCAAGCTATTAACACTTTAAAGTAGGCATGCATCCAAAAACAATTCATAAAACCCATGACTTTCAAAGCCTAGTATATGGTGAACCAAAATAAACTCTTTAACAACATTAAAGAGAAGTAAAGATTTAATGATTCTTTACCCTTGAAGCTCATCCTTGTTTACACAAGGGATTCACCCAAGTGGAGGGCCTTCAAGTCACCGCCAAGCTCTTTGAATCCTCCTTGTGTTTTCCTCCCTTTAGTGCTCCTTTGATGATTTGAGGAAAAAGGATTTGTTCTCCAAAACACCAAAAGCTTGATGTCTCTAAGTTTCTTCACCAAGGTTGTATCTTGTGAAGATGAATTGGATGACTTAGAGAGATTTTAGATGCTAGTAAAAATCCTCTAAGTGACCGGCCTCTATGTAGAAAATGAGAGAAAATGTTTCACCCAATTTCTATTAGAAAACCCTAATGAGAAACAAAGCTATAAAGATGACTTTATACTTCATCTCTTAGGTTAGTGGCAAACTTGCAATTAAGCATAAATTCCCACTACCCTTGACATGGCCGGCCTCCTTTTGTTATTGGGCTAAATACCCATATTTGTTTTAGTTGTCATACAACTTAAACATAATGGGTCTAGTGGACCAAAACAATTTTGGACCCCGAAGCCCAAACTAACTTAAAAGCCCAATACGAACCTTTCGTATAATTAATTAACTAATTAATTAATCTTGACCATTCTTCAATTAAACCATTTAATTGCTTATCCATTTCATATAATTTCTTCACTAACATCCTTATGTGGTGTGCGATCCATTAGGTTCCAATTAGCGAGGCAGTGGGCGATGTTACTCTTAACGATCGATTGTGAATTGAAACCACATTTCAATTCTCCCTTAAGATTAGTGTTTGCTAATCTTCAGGGCTTCCACAAACCATGAGTGACACCTAGCAGTATATCATGGTTACACAAGCTAAGTAGAATTGGTTGGAGAACCTATCCAGTTACAACTACAATGCAATACGGTCCTTCTCTAATACAATACTCTTAATCACATTGTTTAAGTGATAGTTTGTTTCATGTCTACTATCCAATGTGATACTTTCCTATATGATTCCTTTGAATATGATTCGGAACAAACTTCCTAAGTCATATTCATATGCTTTGGCCAAAGACTTTAGAATCATATCTTAGAGTATTCTCCTTCCACCATGGAAGGTTAGAGATCCCTTGTTGTGCATTCATATGCCTACATGACTAGATAGCTTGACCCCAACAATGCCGTGGACAATCCGAAGGAATGCCGTTGACATGATCAAAGATCAAGGACCTAACCATTAGACATCTATGATGCCTCAGGTCAAAGGACTACTTTGCATATTGCAACTTTAGAGTTCATACATAACATGTATGTTTGAACTCTCTTTTGATCGACGTTCAGTGTACTCGATTACCTTTTCGAGCACCTATGTGTTTGTCTCAGTGTCCAACACCAAATGACTTGAGACTAGTTCAGAATGTAGTCATAAGGATTTTCATTCTTAGTTCTTTCGAATTAAGAGGTGCAACTCTATGTCATAGTCATAAAGTTCAAAACCATTCAACTGAGACGGTTTATAAATCCTTATCGACTACCTTGGAGCTTGAGGTATAGGAACTAGGTTGTTATATTTGTTGATTACTTTCTTGTCTCTCAAAGAACCTATTCTTTGAGTTCTATCTCTCGTTCATTTGCTTTTAGGCAAATCACATTGTAGGATTACAATGAACTACCCAACAAAACAACATTTGTTAGTTGGTTTATAGAAGCGATATCCAAAAGTTAATTTAAGGATATCCTACAAGATTGTTATCAAACAAATATTGCTTATAAGCACACAACCCCAAATCTTAACATGTTTTAAGATTTGTCTTTCTTTCCAACTACATCTTATGGAGTCATGAAAATATTGGAAGATCTTCTAATTTACAATCATATTGTTTTAGAAGTATATATCCTATATATGGGTAACAGATAACATCTAACGAACTAAATCTTATTCGAGTTCATTCTTCTCCTAATGGAGAAATACATTATCTTATGATGCTTATTTCCTTGATATCTTTCAAGGAAACTGTTCTAAAGTGTTACCTTATCTTGGATCAAATCTAAGGAGGTAAATACTTTAGACATCTTACTCATCAACTTACATTTCTTGAATTCTTTGAAACCTTTTGCAAAGTATTCGAACTTGTGTTTATTCAAAATAAACTATAGTCCAACCGAGAGTGATCTTCGGTGAATGTCATATAACATGAGTAGTATTATGTTTGTGGACAAGTGCCACTAACATCTAAGTGAATTAACCTCAACAACTTTGTGATTCTTTCTTCTTTCCAAAAGAATAAAGATTCGAACATTTCGCCTCTATACAATTTTAACAAGAAGGTATTGGATCCGGATCTAACGATCCAAAGCGTCCATCTATGACCAACTCGTAATTTAGGTTTTAGAGGTATCACAACTTTAGTTGGGATTAGTCACTACCTTGCAACGTTTTGGGTTTTAAGCATCATTATTTTCTAAACAGTTAAGACTACCATATTATCTCTACTATAGAGATAATTAATTAGATTACCATAATCCAATCATTGATTAATAAAGAACTTTGTTTTGTCAAACAAAACATTTATCCATTTCACATAGTGACGGAATTTAGTTCCTTAAAATTGGAATATAAAGACAATCTTTGGTTTTTCCAATTTCTTTGGTAGTTCATATGAGGAAGTAAGTACCATCTGCTTTCGCAGAGATCTACATTTGATTCACGTTTCGAATGTGAAGTACTTTCTCTTCTCTCATTAATCTTCTACTTCTTATTAGCCACACTTTTACAACGATTGTAAAACATAGTTACTAATACGGAATCAAGCATTCAAGTAGAAGAACCAACTGTTTTGAACTTTTCAAGAACAATTTACACACCTTCGAAAGGTGTGTTCTTGACACTTGCAAACATTTCTTGCAAATACCCCTTCCAATGTCCATCCTTTCATAAAGAAAGTTTGTTCCCTTGGAATTAATTTTATCTTCTTCATTTGACTTCTCCTTTGACTACAATAATCATGGTCCCTAAACTCCCACTATCTCTCTTGAAACTTATTTCAATTGTGTTATACACATCAAACATTTTGGAGAGCATGTGTTTATTGTTCACTACATAGTTTACAATAAACTTAGTGAACCATTAGGATAGGGACATAAAGGTGAAGTCCTTGCCTAGTTTCCGTCTCGTTAAGTGGTTTATCACTTCAACACTCAATGATTCAAAATCATCATAAGTCCATGTTAATGGACTATTTTTGTCAACCAACCATTATGTTCTAAACATAATTACAAACCTTCAAGAGTTGTACAAGGCAACTCTCATTTCTTCATACAACAATTTGTAAGTGAAGAATCATGGCACATTAAGTGTCCATGCCTTTGTGCTCTCTTCTCAAGTTCTTTGTTCATTTAACAAAGAAACAAGCACTAGTGTTTGCATTGACTAAGGGTTGTTCAAAGCAACTCTTATTTCTTCATACAACGATTTGTAAGTGAAGAATTATGACATTAAAAGTGTTGTCCTTTTTATGATAGACCTTTTCTAACATATTCTTCTAATGATACATTATCAATAGGAAGATTGTGAGGAAGAGACTACTTATGTACATTTACAAGCCATTAAAGATAATCTATGGTTTTGTAGTACCAAGTCCGGAAACTAAACTTTCGGTTTTTATTTGTCAAGTGTTGGATAGCGTTTGCAAATATATTGGTAAACAAATACATAACGAATATAAATTGATTGATTTTAAGCCATTTGATTCGGGTCTTTAAATCAAATAGCACCACCCACTATTTTTGGCAAATTCCATATCCCTCATTGGAATTCGAGAGTTTTGGATGAAACTCCTAGTAGGTTATGGGAGGCTCACTATTACCAAGCCCACCTCACAATGATATGATATTGGCTAGCATTAATAATAATGAGAGAGTACGCTTACTCATTTGCAACTAATGCAAGTACCCATCTTATTTGGCCTCTAGAGAATGTAACCTCACAATGATATGATATTGGCTCCATTGCACTTAGTTAAGTCATTCCCACCATGCTTAGTTCATGAAGGGGTTCAAGAATAGCCTCACAATGATATGATATTGGCCATCCTCTTTGCTTACATCAACCTCATCATATGTGTATGGATTCCTCCTGAGTATAAGCATGCACTTTGTACTCCCCCATGATAGGGTGAAGCCGGTGTACAAGTCATAAACGATTGGATCCCACCACGGTGGAAGGCCTACGAAAGAGTGTTCTAAGCACTCTCACGCTTATCAACTTAATAATGGTTTGGTTGAGGGTTTTAGGTCTCATCACATATAATCATACATTTTAATCTCTATTAAAACAATTTTGGTCCTATTACAACTATTGGTCCATATGATTGTTTTAGTTGTATATAATACTCCCACTATACTTATAAAACGGTTTTTAAAGCAAGAGTATATGATACTACTAACATAAAATTTTGCATTCATTAGATGGACTATATAGTTGCCTTAGGGCCTTAGGATGATTATGAACCTTGGTTTAGATTCAACATGAGCCTTGTGTTGAATCTCGGTCTAGGGATGGAGATTGATTTTAGTTACGCGTTTAATCACATTAAGGCGTGTTGTCTTAGGGGCGTTGGACCCAACTACTTCATTTTCATGCATATCATATAAAGCAAGAAAGAAGTACTTCAAAGTAAAGGTGAGCTTATGCTCATTACAACATTTGCATAAAATAAATTACTTTAAATAATCGTTACAAACTTATATTCACATGTAGTGAAGGTCGCTTATAAACGATTGCGTTAAGTTCAATTCCTAGCATGAGTGACATGATGTCATAGTTGCAAGTGCTTTGTCAATGCTTATGATTTTCATTAAACGTAATGATC